AATGTAAAATTGAATGATAATGTATATTGTGGGAACAATTGTGAAACGCTTGATATTGGGACATTTTTCATGGTTCCATTTTCCTGTTATGCTCGGGAAAGTGGTTCTTGGAGTCAAGTTCTCACATGTGAAATTAGGTTCTTACAAGAAACATGTGATATTACTTGGAGTAACATGTTTCGCGGTTTTATTGAAACATAGAAAATGCACATAGTAGGTTCAATACTGCTTAATCAAGATCTGTCCAAGCAAAACATATGATTTATCCAGAACAAAAACATGTGAAATTTCATGGGTTTGTTTGAAAAATGTGGTAGGAAACATTAGGAAACCATTTTTTGTATGATGGGGATATGATTCATAGTGGAAACGGGGGTTGTCAACGGGGGGATGCTGCAAAAGTACGTATACGCTATCTTCGGTAAAATTCGAGACTGGATCATCGGGATATTACAGCAATAACGAGGCTGATAGCGGCTTTACCAGCAAAATGGGGATGAGATTCGCATGATCTCAATACTGGGTTGAAACATGTGAAACATGTGTACTTTTGGGTGGTTAATGGTGGATAATGGTGGTTAATGATGGTTAATAGTGGTTAATAATGGTTAATGAGATGTCTGAGTCTGGTTGGTGGTTTCAAACATTTGGATTATTTTCCGTTCCATAAAAAAGTGAGTGTCATCCTTCCCATTGACGAAGTCCATCATTTTTCAAGATGGGCACATTGCACCAGCAAGCCGATGTGAAACATGTGTATTTTTTGGGATATGCATCAAGGCCCCTCATAATGATTCTGTAAATCATCAAGATCAAAGGGGACTTCAGAATTATGAACCTACTGAACCTTAAAATCAGTCATTTGTGTTTTTTTCGCAAACCCATTTTTTATAAAACACATATCAGTCACATATCCATCAATACTCCATATGGAGCATAGATTAATATGGCCATCCCATCAAATTTCCATTAAAATCCATTAGACATTCATCGAAAACAAATTAAAAGTCCAGTAAATACCATTACCCTCTGGTTATTTAACATAGCCATGGAAAATGGCCCATTTATAGATGATGTTCCCATTAAAACCTCCATTTATAAGGGATTTTCCATGGCTATGTTAAATAACCAAATGGTAACATCCCATTAAAATCCATAACCGCTCTTTAGACGTGCATCAAAGTCTCATAAACAATGCCATCAATCCCATATCAATTCCATAAACAGCGGGACTCTTGATTGAAATCAACATCCCAAATCATTCCCATTAAAATCCCATCAAAGTATCAGTCTATTGATATCCATTCATAAAAATCAATGAAAATCCATTCAAAAATCCCACAACAATCCCCTTAAAATCCACATAAATCCCATTAAAAACCGCCGTGTGGATCTCCCCCCAAGCCCCGATTTCTGCGGGCGTAGGAGGAGGCTGCGAAGTTGAAGCGTTCCGCGCGCGACGGCCGGCGTGCAGAGGTGATACTGGGCAGGTGATTTTCTGTTTTGTTTAGGGATGGGTATGGGTCAATACCTATAGATACATTTTTAGTGGGATGAACATCCATTTACCAGCTATTTTGCGGTTCACTAGGGATGAGAATGGGATAAATGTTATGGGATCAGAGTGGACACTAAAAATTCCAATGTCAAGTTGGTTTACAACCCCCATTAACTAGTTATAAGTACCATAAACCATAGTTATTGGAGTTATAAACCAACTTAGCTATCTTGGGGGCCCCACATTGTAGGGATGAGAATGGGATAACAGTGGGATAATCATCGACAATACTGAGTAATACTGGGATGTATACCCTCTGGTTATGTCAAGTTATAGAGAATGGGATAACAATGATAGGGAGAATTGGCATATACAATGATGACTCATCTTTATTATATACCCTCTGGTTATGTCAAGTCATAGCTATTGAACATGGCCATAGAAATAGTGAGTTTTCCCAGCTACAAAATGGTGGATCTTTCCATAGTTTTTTGTAAACGTTTACCGGAGGGTAGGGATGAGACTGGGATAACAGTGGGATAATCATGGACAATCCTGGGATAATTCAAAGGCGCCACCCAATTATCCATTATCATTTACTATTCGAATATATTATCCGGGATAATCATCTATGGATAGTCAATGATAATGGACAATTGGTTGGTTTTTGCCCGTGATAACCAATATATTCAATAATCATCATGGTTTCATGCAGATTGCCATGGAACATGTTCATCAATGTTCATCTCCCATACCTTATTAAGCCAAGATAGCAGAAGATGACTCCGCAGTATACGTAGATGGGCAATTGTTGGTTAACTAGTTAGTAAATGAGATTATCATTGTGATTTGTTGTGGTTTATAAGCCAGTTACTAACCACAAATCGCTTTTTTCCCATGGCACACCTAAGTGGGATGTGTAGTGATTAATGATGATTTATAGTGACGTTCTGATGATTTATAATTAGTGATGTATAGTGAAGTGAATGGTGATTTATGATGACATTGTTATGATTCATAGTGGTTTGAAGTGATTTGTAGTGATTGATGGTGGTTTATGGTGATTGATATACTGGTTGATATAGTCATGTATAGTGATTTGTGGTGACGTTATGGTGCTTACAGTTCGTTTAGCATTGGATTGTACTGGGATCAGAATGGCTCATGTATGACGATCTGTATGATGATTCATGCGTAATGGTGATGTTCTACAAACTGTGATTTGTTTATATTGTTTGCATATAGGACAACAACACAAATCCAGGATGTATGATGATGTATGGTGATTTTGAGATCATAAGGGGATCATATAATGACTTTCTGGTGGTCATTGGTAGTAATGACATAGAAATGAGCCGAATAAAGCAAGGTCCACAAACAATGCTGAAATCTCCTCATTAATAACACATGAAGCTTTAGAAATCCGCCATAAAAGGCTGGATTATTTTGGGGGTTCTGATACCGAAATGTGGGATTTCTGACATTTCTGATGTCCGGTTCGGTCGGTTTTTTTTGTTTTCAAAACCGGTGGATCATAGAAGCCACATTCGCGAAGATTCACAAGCATTTTTTTCAGCAAAGATGACCAAGATGACTGGAGCCCATCATGGGTTTTTAAAAATTGGGTACATATGTCTGGGTAAATTATAACGACCTCACTGTTCTCCCTCACTGGGAACCATGGTTAGTAAAGGGAATCATCCCCAAATGGCTTTAATTCAGGTTAGTGAAATATTATAATTTACCCATATTACATATATATACATATATATATATATGGGTTTTTATATGGGTTTTTATATGTATCATCCGGTTCTCGGATTTCGATCTTATGTCCATCTAGATCGACTACCGTTGTTCTGAATGATCACGAGGCCATGATGCAATTTACGCAAGCGGCGGTGCATTTGGCCAAGGACTGGCCGTTTTCTGGCGGGGGTGTGGTGCTTTTACTGTTTGGTAAACTAACGGTTTGCTGTAGAAAATCACTACTTTGATAGGTAGCTTTATAGATCAAGTATAGTTTATATATGGCCACTTTCTATAAATGTTAGTTCACCAGAGGGTAAATGCTTTTAGCTAGTAAAACATGAAGGTTTTTATCGTTGAACCACCGTTAAACTGGATTTTTTTCAGACAGAATCCGAGACATGGGGAGTGTTGGTGGTTTCATTTGATATTTGACGATAGTGTTGTCCATCCTTTCATATCCCATGACGGATCCATGGTGCTGGTATATATGCTAACATAAAGGGGGTATATTGATGGGATCCATGTTACCATATATAGCAGCACCATGGATCCTATGGGTATTGGATACCGTATCTCATCTCTCACACTGAATTTCCACGAATTTCCCATTCCCATCGCTTTGGAAAATAAGTCCCCAATACTTTATACAATCCGTTAGACTGTACATATAGATTCCAAACAAAAACAAATCCGACAAAAATAAGGCCAACTGATTCTTTATTTTTTCCGGAGGGGGTACTGTTAATCAATAATCATTGTGTTCCAATAAATTTAATGATTATTATTGATCAACCATAGCATTAACATAACATTGATGATCAATTCCATAACAAATTATATAATTAATAATATGATCCATTTCCATAACATTAATGATCAATTCCCAATTCCTAAAAAAACAGAATACATCACCAGAAATCCACCATTCCCCTCATCCCTATAAAAACACATTATGTCACAATATGCATGTGGAACTTACTTAAATTGTTATGTCATACAATGATTGACATCATGTCACAAAAAATCTATGTCATTCCTAAATAATGTATGATATTCGAAATTATGTTCTACTCGTACTGTATTTATTAAATAATTGAAATCATATATGATACACAATTTTATTGTAATTATCAGTCACATTATATATTTTCCTTAATCCTGGTATATTTATCCCTACTTGGAAGTACCGTGGCCATTTGGCTAAAGCAATTGACGGTTCAAACAAGATTGAACTTAACATGTTCGGCCTTTGGTAAGGCATCACTGCATTTACAATTCAGTTGAGACACGTCGTCAAATGTCCGACGTGTTTCCCTTACGAAAGCGATGGCTGAAGCGATGAGTCGAGGCAGCTGGAAAGGTGGCGGGATTCCGGGATGGCATTCCGGGGACGAGACCACTGTAGTTCTCACAGCTGTGCCCAAGACCTTGCCGAAATTCTGCTGGCACTTCTGGATGAGGAATATCTTGGTTGCTATGACTACTTTTACCCATGGACATGGACAAGCTCGAGAATACCGGCCTAGCATCAATTTCCGAGACGACAAGGCGGTGGAATGCCAACAGCATTTTGCTGGAGCGCTTGGCCTGGCATTTCAGTGAAGGCTCCTGCAGGGCTCAATGGTCCTCTCTCCAGGGATATGAGGCGAACATCCAGAAACAGCAAGATCTGAATGATTGGGTGAATTCCAACATGCCTGAGGATTGCAAGCCCATGGTCTTTGATGAATATGGAACCCGCCTGCCCACCATGGACATCTTTCCGCCCTGGGACTATCAGGTCTATCATGGATGGAGGAGCTTCGAAATGCCGGGAAAAGCTCACGTCACCGGCATCACCGGTTCAGGTGATAGTTCGCGTGATGGTTCAGGTGATCGCTACCGGCTGTGGAAAGACGAGTGGATGTCTCGTGGCAGTGGCAACCTCGGCGGTTACCGGTCTGACGAATGGAGACACAGCCCTTGGTCCAGCGACTGGTCTGGTGGATCTCGGAAAGAGCGATGGTCTGACAGCTGGCGCAAGGAGAACTATGACAATGACTGGTTGGTGGTTTCAAACATTTTTTATTTTCAATAACATATGGGATAATCCTTCCCATTGACTAATATTTTTCAGAGGGGTTGAAACCACCAACCAGATGAGAACTATGAGAACTATGATCGCAAGTGGGACCGTGACAAACATGATTCGCAATGGGAAAGATCCGTCCGCTGGGCTGGTTGGAATGGACAGAATGGCCAGCATGAGAGTCAGAGACAAGTTGTGATCGAACAAAAAAAACAGACCTCATATGGAAATGCAGCCTGGTCTTGGCAAGGCTATGCCAATTATGCACCTGCTGAGGGACTTCGGGGCCTTCCGGGACTTGCAGGACTTCCGACAATGCCTGAAGATACTGAGACGGAGGAAGCAAACATCAAACCTTGGAGTCTTCAGGCAGTGAAAGGTGCTGGGTATACAGTCTCGAAAAACACAGGAGATTTCAATTCCGAGTTTTCTGAACTTTTTCAAAATGATCCGGATCCAAAAGCTTCAAGCGAACTCCCAACCCCTGAAGCTGACAAAGTTTGTGAACCGGAAGCTTTGGCTTCACTGGTGGTGGTGACGAGATATGCCTGCCCCTGCTGCAATACTTGCTTTGCCAAGTGGTCCGCATGTCAAAATCACATTTTCAGCACGCCAAAGTGTCACAAGGAAGTGGTGAATGACCCTGCGGATGTTACAGACCTTCAGGCCCAGTGCAAGGGAAGGGCCGAGGAATTGCCACCGAGTGGCCTGAATGCTTCTGATGTCGATGCCACCGGACGTTTGCAGTAAAGCTACAGTTGGCAGCACTAATCGATATGCACAGAAAAGTGAGAAAAGAATAACTGCGTTGTATTCCAACTTAACTGGGTTTTCTCACCATTGCCATAGCCATTAGTAACCTCAGCTGCACCCTTAAGTTATAAGTCGGTTTATAACCCCTATGGCCATCTATGGCCCATAAATGTATCATAAACCCCAACCCCTATGGCCATCTATGGCCCACAAATGTATCATAAACCCTGGTGACATTGGAGTTTTTGTTTCCCCCAACGAATCGCAACCCGAATCGCTGGGGCCCCACACCGTTGCCGTTGAATGTGCCACGCAGGCAGAGCCTGTGAAGGCTGTGCAGCTGGCTGCAGATGCAGAGATCTACTTCCAGCGCGAGCAGGACCGATGTCGCCGCCTTTCAGCGCGGTACAAGGTCAGAAAGTGGGAATGATATGTGCAATGTGGGGCCCAGAGCTAAGTTGGGTTATAACCCCCATTAACATCCATTAACTAGTTCGTTATAAGTACCATAAATATCCATAAATCATAGTTATTGAGTGATGACCATTTATTAGTTATAACTGGTTATAACTGGGATTATACATTCTATAAATGGGGTTTTCTAAGCAGTTATAATTGGTATTTCTGGCCATAACTGTATGGAATGATTGCTTCACACATGTTCATAATCGAAAGTGCTTGTGAAAGCCATGGGAGACATAAACGGAAAACCGAGATGGAATTTTTCAAATGGGAAAGCCATGATTTTTCATCTAGCCTGGTTTCTATATTCATGAGATTTTCATGGATTTTAATGGTATTTAATGGTATTTAATGGTATTTAATGTCATTTCATATGTAATTATTGAAGAAACTTGTTGGAAGGATCAGCACCAAAGATTGGTATTTACGGTATTTAACCATCAAAACGGGGGTGGCTTTTAACAACACTTACGTGGATTTTTGTTGCTGGGGATAGCGTTTCATACAACATGGGGATGCTCATGGAATTTCATGGAATTTCATGGATTTAATTTCTGGTTGGTGGATTTAATTCATGATCATCTAGTGCTGAATGAGATAAGTTAATAGTGGTTAATAGTGGTTAATAGTGGTTAATAGTGGTTAATAGTGGTTAATACTGGTTAATAGTGGTGAATAGTGGTTAATAGTGGTTAATAGTGGTTAATAGTGGTTAATACTGGTTAATAGTGGTTAATAGTGGTTAATACTGGTTAATAGTGGTTAATAGTGGTTAATAGTGGTTAATAGTGGTTAATAATGGTTAATAATGGTTAATTAGATATCTGGTTGGTGGTTTGGAACCATGGAATTTTATGACTTTCCATCTGGTTGGGAATGGAAAATCATCCCAACTGACGAACTCATATTCTTCAGAGGGGTAGGCATACCACCAACCAGAATTTGATTTAATGGTATAACTTTCACAGGTATAACTTTCCGCATGCATTATCCCGGATTATCCCTATGAATCGTAACGTTTGAGGGAGTATTCCGACGGTTTTTTTTGTAGCTTCGCTTCGATGAAGAATTTGCATCCAAAGCTGGTGATTTCAAACATTTGGATTATTTTCCACTTCATTAAAAAGGGATGTCATCCTTCTCATTGACGAAGTCCATCATTTTTCAGAGGGGTAGGTCAACCACCAACCAGCCATAATTAACCAATGATTAACCATCATTAACCATCGTTAACCACTATCAACTATGGTTAAAATCACCAACCAGAAACTGTTACCATGAAACTGTTGATGGTTTTTTGATCACCAACCAGAAACTGTTGATGTGGGCTTCAATCTGATTTGAATTGGTATCCCCATATGCGAACCATGGTGCTGTATATTTACCTACAAAACTGGATGATTTTGTTCGGGCAAATGTTGGTAAATATTCCATACATGGAGCATATGGGATCTGGATTTTACCACCAAATTTACCACCAATGAGACTATGATGAGATTGTGATGACAAAGTTTTACCTGGCTAATTCTTACTGCAAGTGGAGGCACATTCCATTGTACCACAACCTGGTGCATCTCATATTTGTGTCAGAAAATAAGGTTCCGCCCAGGTTGCATTTTGGCGTTTGCTGTTCGCTTGGAAGGCTGCAAGAGATGCATGAGAATTTATTGTTTCAGGTAGAGCACAGTCTAACAATGACTTCCATGTTCCAGAAAGGAGAAAGAAAGAAACTTGCTTGTTGGTGGTTTGGAACATTTGGCTTATTTTTCCATTCAGTTGGGAATGTCGTAACCCCAACTGACGTTCAGTCCATGATTTTTCAGAGGGGTAGGTAGGTCAAGCACCAACCAGATTATTAGATGTATTAACCATCATTAACCATATAATAACCATTAATATCAACCATTAATATTAACCCATATGCTCCATGTATGGAATATTTACCAACATTTACCCAAAAAATCACCCAGTTTTGTAGGTAAATATACCATACATGGAGCATCTGGGTAACAGTATATTACCAAGCAATAGTAGGTTGGTCAACCACCAGATTTTCCCTTTGATTTGCCGATTTTCGGAAAATCCACCAGAAAAATCAGGAAGTTTGGGACTGGGAATAGGTTTTTATCTTTTTGGGGGGTATCGATAGTAGCGGTATCTTATAGAAATTTACCGTATTTTTTTCGATATTTTTTGGACACAACCATCTGTAAATGGGATATAATGGGATTATTTTTCTCGCAGAACTCAGTTGCCAACCATTTGTTTCGGCAAATGGTACTGGTTTACTATCATGCTCAACCTAAACCAGCAATAACCAGCATTTGTTTAATCAACTGTTTGCTTAGTCATATAGTCATATAGTCTGCAACGGAAGCAAACCTAATTGAAGCTCATAAACTTGACGATGAAGCGGGCCATTCTTGGATGGTTTACTCCTTGTCACAATCATGATCTCTGAGGGCAGGGCACATGTGTTTCGTACCATGTGTTGGGGTTTTACTGTGTTTTACCCTCTGGTAAACTGCCACATAACTACATAACGAACTGGAAAGATCCACCATTTTCAATGGGTAAATCATGGTAAATCCACTATTTCTATGGAAAATCACCACTTTCAATAGGTAAATCCACTATTTCTACGGTTTCTACGGGCCATTTTCCATAGCTTTTTGTATGTCATAACCAGCTTGGGAAAAAAATCCAGTGGTGACAGTAGGTCTCCATAGCCATGGGGAGCCACGGCTGCAGGTTTCTGTTTCAGTTTCCCAAACGCATTGAAAGCCATAGAAAAACATACCATTGTTGATTGGTAAACCATAGGAAACCATAGGAAAACCATGAAAAAAAAAGTGTTTTAGCCTCTTATATATCAATGGTTAATCAATGGATAACCAATGGTATAATGGTATGATTGATATACCCTCTGGTTATGTCAAAATAGCTATGGAAAATGACCATAGTTATAGTGGATTTTCCCAGCTACAAAATGGTGGATCTTTCCATAGTTATGTTAAATTACCAGAGGGTACCACTGTTGATTGGTATGATGGTGCCATTTGTTTATTGCCTTATTAGGCACAATTACAACATAATACAACTTTATACTAGAAATACCCATAGAAATAAGCCAGAATTTTCAGACAACCCCTGTTCCACAGCATTTCTAAAACCTCGAGGACTGGCCAGCGCTGGCAGAAGTACTTGAGGCGAGTGGGAGATCGGGAGACCACTGGTGGGACGACATGGTGGGCTTACGTGTACCCGGCCTGGTAATTTAACGTAGCTATTGAAAATGGCCATTTATAGTGATTTTTTTAATTAAAAATGCTGGATCTTTCCATAGTTATGTTAATTTACCAGAGGATAAACCTTGGTTAGGTCCTACAAGAGTGTATGTCGAAAAACCATTGGATAACGACCAAAAGAAGACACCGCAGTCAGTTTGGAACATGCTGATTCGCACAAAAGATGAATCATGGGGCTTCATAGCAGACAAAGCTGCAAACAGCTGACCGAGGACAACGGACTCCCAGCACCAAGGAGCTGGTGCATCATGTCCTGCCGGACACGACACTAATGGAGACGACAAAGCTGTGTGACCCACTGTTTTGGTGCTACCCAAACGGTTTTGGTCTGGAAATCGGGTGATCTCCGCCACGGTGAAGGAAGGACAGGGAGTTCATGTGAAGATGGAGCCGTTTGTCAAGGGTGCAACGCTCCTGAAGTCCTTCGGGTGGCTCTTTTCGGCGCTTTGGGGAACTCACCCTGCCCCCTACAGGCCGGAGATGATGCTTACCGGGGAAGTGGAGTTCGACGAGTCCTCTCACCTGCCGGACGAAACGAAAATGCGATTGAGAAAGGGGTTGCTTTTCCCCTTCTCACCTCTCAAGGATTTTGTGGACGGATTCAAAGGGCAGGTTTTCGAGGGAGCGGGTATGCTGGGCGAGACTCTGAGGGAGAAGGGTTTCATGGACGCACTGAAGGCTGCCTGTTCTGGGAATTTTCGTTACTGTATTAAACATGGAACATGATGACATATGCTTAACCAGCGGAAATAGGGCTGCAATAGGGGAACCTGATTTTTGACAGACCCATATATTTTGCATCCGCATTCGTCTCTATGTTTCACCACCGGGTAGGGGATCTTAAATTATGTGGAGATGTTTTCAGCAATGAACCGCATGAAGCCAAGCAAACTGATCACATTCAACCAGTCTAGCCACATTCCAGGGGGATATTAAGCAATACTGAAACCATTTAACAACATTTGACTAGTATAACAAATCATATATCACAATATATGAAACCATCATGTTATCAACACCATATTAAAATATATTAAATACCGTGTCAAATAGCAATCATTGAGTGAAGCCATGGCCATGATGCCCCCACTTCGCTGGATCTTCCGTATACCGATAGGTGGTGGCCCCCGCTCACCTGCAACGTGGAGACGGCAAGAAGGACCCGTCCCAGTCAACGGGGTGAACGTTGGTCGACTCCAAGAGGATTTGAACTTATCGTTTTTTGTG